AACCAAGTAGTACCGGAACTAAAGGTTACGTTAGTTTAGGTTCCGTAAACCAACTTAATTTAGTTTATTAATTAGTAAATATATTACTTCTATATAGTGTGTGTGTGTGTGTGTGTGTGTGTGTGTGTGTGTGTGTGTGTGTGTGTATATATATATATATATATAATTTTCTTCTTTACAAACATGTAACAATGGAAAACAAACAATAAAAATCAAAATCACTGGTGCAGTGATGTTGGATCCAAGAGTATTTAGGGGGGGGGGGAGTTACATCTAGTAAATCAAATACACTATGATTATAATGGTTTAGTCGCTTCCCCACCCCTTCATATTTTACTGTTTAACTAAAGGCAGGTAATTACCTCAAATTCATTGAATTTCGTGCAAAACTACTTGTGGGTTTATCTGCGCTAGCTGTCTGTAATTTAAAATTGATAGATTACAGGAAAGGCAGTTAGTCAACACCATCAACCGCCAATTCTTGGTAAAAAGTAGCCAATGAAAAGTGAGATTGACCGTTACATTATAATATTCGAATGGCTAAAAGGGTAAGTGTGTTCGGTGACGGGTTTCGAAACCACGACCTGCAGATTGCGAGTCGAGTGCCCTAACCACCACTGGCACTAGGCCAAAAACACAAATTCGACAGATATATTTGGAAACATACTAATTTTATTTTACTAATAACACTCCCTTTTTACGAGATAGTACGTTGTTTGAAATTGAACACAGACTCATCACAAGATGTTTTATTAAAAGTGGTACAAGGAAACATCTAATCCATCACTAATAACGAAATTTAATATATTCGAGAAAAGAAACTAATCCCCCCAAAATCTACTACCTATTTAATTTTATACGAAATTAAAACCAATGAATAATTCATGAAAAAGGAGTGATAGAAATATATCCAAAACCGAATTTTGTATCTTGATCTGTTTAAATGATAAAAAACAAATGAGACACTGACCATAAAGTTTATCAATCTCACATATTAACGAATATCTTGTCATATTTGAAGAATGGGTGTTTGAATTTCGATAGTATTTAAACTAGTGTCTACTTCACAAAAAAAGGCTCCACACACACATACTATTAGTCTACACAACTCAAAGTTTCCATGTTACAGTTGGATGCGAGGTTTTGTTTTAGCCGAAACAATATTTTTCTTTCTCAGATGTTTCCAAGAGCCTCCAGTCAGCACTGCGATTTTATAAACAGGAAAAGGTTTTCTCTTAAACTTAAAGGCAAAAAAAAAAATGATAGGATCATTTATATTATACAACTTACAAAGTCTAATGCTAAACTTATACACATATCTTAATATTTTTGACTGCCATTAAAAAAAACAACTCATTTGTTAAAGATATATTCCACGCATATAAACACTTGAAACATAACTCACATTTTTCTAGAAAGCCGTAGGTAACCTAACACCACATGCGTTATTTAACTACTCCTCTGTTTTAAACTGCTTTAGTCCAGACTTCAGTCTACTTTCGAGCACGTACTGCACCAGCTCGTATCACGATGTCAGACACGTGTATTCAGAATCATGCGCCTCTCTTGCAGTATTGAACGATCCGAGAATAGTAGATTTATGCAAAGAGCCACACGCGCGTGCCTCGTCACATGATCGCGTGTTGGCACGTATACTCAAGTCAGCAACAGACTTCACCAAGCTGTCAGTACAAGGCACTAGCAAGATTAAACTTTTCTTTTTATTTACATTGCTCGTGACTAGTATTAGTATATATATATATATATATATGTTCTGCCATATCAATTTATTGTGGCAAAGATGAAAATAAAGCATCACCAACAGGAATAACACTATATATGTATGGGATGTTTGTTAGTTTGCTAATTAAATGTACTTTGAATAATATATATATATATAAAATCTTACTTGAATCCTAAGGAATATCAAAACCATGAACGCCTGTAAATTCCAAGTATGCATATTATTCTCAAGCATTTTTTTAAATAAAGAAAACCTGAATAGATTTGCAATAAAAACGTAAAAAAAAACATTTTTATTCAATCACCCACCCTTCGAATCCTCAGTAAATTGTCTTGATTTTGATCGGTACAGGGAAGTTGGGTATTGTTTTTACACATTTTGTTTCCAACTCAATTGTTATGCTTACGCAGAGTAAGCATACATGAAGGCTATAACACAGGCAATACAAATATTGCATCTCACTGGTACTCAAGGTGACACGTACTGCGCGTGCACATTTATCACATTAGTCTAGGAATCGAGTGATATATATGTACGCTCAGAAAATCATGTCAGTAGTATATGCAACTAGCTATAAAAGCCGAGGAACCAGATACGTTTTACATTCATAATACTTGAAAAATGATTAAATATTGGGTAGGGGGTAAAAACAATCAAGCTTTACTGCCCCATGGCCCTCAAAATTGATATTTGAGATTTTAAACACTGGAATTTAGGAGAAATATTCTGAAATACGGAAAAAGTTTAAATGGGGGAGGCAAATATTTTTGACCCAGAGTCCTTTGATATCTAGTTACAGTGAATGTAATATAAATATTTACACGGAGGTTTCACAATTTGATTCAGCATATTGTTACTTTTAATAAACGCACTGATAAAATCACAAAAAGTATGTAATTATTAACCTTCCATTTTTCCCGTTTATGACGAGAAATTAAAAGTTTAAGCTAGTTTCTTTCTGAAATAGTCTACTTTATTAATAACTATTGAAACTCAGTAGACACATTACCGGAAAGACTTTTCTGTCTATTTGTTAATTTCAAAAATCTCTGACGCTCATGATCATCTTAGTTGATTTCATAGATTCATGTGCGTGTGTTACACATTTATTGTTTTCTGTTTCTTTTGCCCCCACCCCAGCGGCATGTCTGCGAACTTACAACGCTAGAATCCGGGTTTCGATACCAGTGGTGGGCAGAGCACAGATAGCTCGTTGTGTAGCTTTGTGCTTATCTACAAACACACAGATTGTTTCTTTTAACGATAATGAAAAATCGTCAAATGATAAAATATCTTGTTATGAACTTTTATCCGCTGTAGAACATCATATTTTGCGCAGAAGGGATAAATCCATTATAAGTTGTTCGTTTTATTTTGTAAAAGATCCTATGAGTTAGACATAAGTTCAAGTTTATGAAGAAGACTGAATATAAAAGTTTTTAAGATGATGAGAAAATTCAGAAAGTATACTGTTGAAAGATTCGCAAATGGACTAATTTGAAAGAAAAAGTCGCAGTTGACAAATTGTTAATATCTTTAAAGCAAAAGATAAAATAAACAAATTAAATGTATTTATCAATACAATTGCATGGAGATAATAAGTATTGTTACGTCTCTGTTCGTTTGTTAACCTTCCATAGAGATTCTTTCCCAGAAACTTCAGCGATACAAGTCCTTTCTTAAATAAAACTAGTTTATTCTTTCTCAGTTCAACTTTGCAATACACTTAATTTCCACAGTCATTTTAACTTAAACACACGCTATAATTCACAACGATTCACGCACGTTACTTACGGTAACTACCGCGCTTGACTCAATTGTGCGTCTCTGTCTGTCTGCAATTATCTTTTTTATATATATAAGCCGGCAAATGAAGTGACGGCAAAAAAAAAATAGAGGACGCGTAGAGAAGACTTGAGTTGCCATGAACAGACATGATCCTTCTAGAATCTCATGACGTGTTACTAGCGTCAAGTGACTTCCGCTGTCGTAACAGTATATTTGTATTTTATACCTGAACAGCACTTTATATGCGAAAAATAGGCTAAATGATCAGGTCATGCAAAGACCAGTAAGGTTCTGATATAACTTCCTAAATCCGAACTATTAACCAAAGGAAACACAGTAAATCAGCAGCATCCGCCGCACCAAGGACCTTATTTATCCAATTTTGAACCGAATAATATAATAGACTGTCACTCATTTAACACACCAGCATTTGAAAGTATGGGGCAAGCCTTGCAGCATCAAATAATACGCAAAACTGAAACAATCATAAATGAATGTGTTGAAAATTACTGTGTAACAAAAACTCAACTGTCATATTATCGATACAGAAACTTTGAATATTAAAGTATACCAATGTCACAAAATACTAGATATTTTAATAGTATATTGGCGGCCAAATACATGCGTACCCAAGTTTATTAATAATTTAAAAACACTGGTGAAACTGCGTGAAAACATTAAAACTGTACTCACAACGGACGACATAAATACTGACACATGAACCTTGAAAATCTGAGATGGAAGAATGTTTCAAACTTACTGGGACCATTTACATTATACAGAGGGTCGAGAACAATGTGTCATAAAGAAAAATCAGAAAAATACTATGTCATGAATATTGGTTTACATTTACATAATACAGAGTGTCGAGAACAATGTATCATAAAGACAAATCAGAAAAATACTATGTCATGAATATTGGTTTACATTTACATTATACAGAGGGTCGAGAACAATGTATCATAAAGACAAATCAGAAAAATACTATGTCATGAATATTGGAAAAGGAGAAATGATAAGAAAATTATTTGGCAAAATATAAACGAATTAATTTAGAATAAGATAAGTACCAAATACTGACGATACAGTATTCACAAATTTGAAAAATGGCATGCCCTTATATAACACTACTTAATAATACTAGCAGAAACGATGCCATACGGGCGGCTGTTTGTGCTAGTAATTAGTAATCGTAGTATGGATACATCATTGTAAAAATATTAGAAAAAGTAAATATTTTCTAGAAAAGGTTTTTTTTTTTTTCTAGGAAGTACTGCACGAGAAAAGTGTTCGGTTTGTGTTCTTTAGTCATATGCAACTCATTGCATTAAAATGATTCAATGTACAGAGCACAAAATTTTCATAAATTTTACTGGTATAAACTTGTAATGTTTTTATATATTAAAAGTGGTACCATTTATTGAAAATTAACAGTTTTTTTAAGAACTCCATATTTTTAGTACTATGTTTACAAATTACATCGATAAAGATATAATCATACCTCACGTACGGTCGTGTTCTTGTTGTGAGGAGAGTATTTTTTGTTTAAAATTGTCTTCTGTTATAAAGAAATGGTTGTTGCACATACTACAGTTATTTTTTTAATAGTCTGAATCTTGAATACCCAGAGCGTGAATTTTTTTATGGAATTTTGTTTGTGGTGCCATTCAATATATGACGCCACATTGTATTTATTATATCGGTCACATATATAGATAGATACATATAGACACGCTACGTCCATTATAGTAAGATTGTTAAATAAAGGAATGTCGGTCAATTTGGGGCACGAGTACCATCCAGAAAGAGACAACTGAACCAATAAGAGATGATGACACAACATTAAAGATGATCTAACGCTGATACATCTTCGAAAAAAGGTATTATCGCTAAAACTATACCCTACTGAGTTGTTGAATGGTTACCCTTAACAACTATGTGAGTTTAAGGTAAACGAACGCTTCAAGTCAAGGATAACGCTATGGAGTTGTGAGCGAAAAAGTGGTTAGCTAGGGCAATGAAAAAAAAAGATTGGTTTCTGACTCAGCACTACAACTCCTGTCAGAAGTTATTTACAAAAACGAGTATCTAGACAGAAATGTGTGTAAACAACATTCATTCCTCCTGTGAGAAATGTGAAAAAAATTTTAAGGTGGAAAAGGCACAACATCAAAAGCGCATCTCCCTATTCAAGGGGGGGGACACCTCTGTGTAAAACAACAACAACAACAAGCCAAGTGGATAAGAAATAAGGTGAGTTAAATAAAATAAATATATCTACAGAAGATTTTCTAGGAATGTCTTGGGCGAATATCAAAACATTCATTTTCTGAGAGCCCAATATGTCCTTCCACTCAATTAACTTCAACAATACAGAAAGGAGGTTCAGTTTAGAAATCAGATAATCTCAAACCAAACTCAGATATGTGCAAATATGGAATAAATGTAGAACTTGAAGGCAGCTTAGAAAATCTGTGAAGATGACACCAACTAAAGTTACTTTCCAAGATAATCCATTCAAGAAAAAAAGTATGTTAAATAGGTGAGTGGCCATTCTGGGAAAAGGATATGAATTTGGAGTTGAGTGCACCTGTGAGTTACACACAACATACCCAAATTGGAAGCTTATTTCTTCTACATAGCAAGTTTTCATTAAAAAGGGGCAAATTTCTTACGAGTTAAACGTCCTTGGCTGTGCAGCTAACATATTACCACTTAGTAATCTGCTATTCACAATACCTGTGGACAATATGAATGTATCTTCTAAGCCTTCGCATCACCAAAACAGAAAACAGTATTCAAATACGCCACAGTAGTTTCTGAAAGGAAATTTCCAGAGATGTATATTAACAAATTCATGCTACGTTTTAAAAAAAATACTCTCTATACTATACAATCGATCTTTGAACCTTTTCAGTGCCGTGTTTTGTAAGTGAGACCCATACAGGGGTTTTGGGGAAGACTTGGGCCCGCTTTGCAATGCTGTCGTTTAATATTATTGGTACTAAAGAAACCTACCACTAGCCCAGTATTTCCCGAATTTTATGTTCATATAAC